TCGAAAAATTAGAATATCGTGCAAAAGTTCATTTATTTCAGTAATGCAACTTAAAAGGTGAAACTAATATATGAGATAGACTCATTGATTCAAGATAGTTGAAGCCGTGATTTGTCATAATTGTGATGATTATGGCTCACAGGTCATGAAACCCCAAATCCACAATCTCAGAAAATCTGAGAAAATGTTATGGAGTGGCCAGCCCAATCCCTGGATCTTAATCCAATAGAAAACTTGTGGGATGTCATCAAAAATGCAGTTTCTGAGGCAAAACCAAGAAATAGAGAAGAACTGTGGAATGTAGTCCAATCATCCTAGGCTGGAATACCTGTTCACAGGTGCCAGAAGTTGGTTGACTCCATGCAACACAGATGTACAGCAGTTCTCAGAAACAGTGCTTATACAACTAAATATTCATTAAGTGATTCAAAGGAAAGCAAAATCTTCAAACATTTTTCAGTTTATATAGTGAATGTTTGAGTTTGTAAAGAAGAATACAAACACTGCTATTTTTTGAAACAGTCTAATATTTACTTTTCTTCATTTTTTTTAGAGGAACAACACAAATTTGATATATTTTTGTTCATGTTTTGATTTGGAATAGAATGTGTAGTGTTCCCAATGCATTTGTGTGTATGGAAATAAAAGCTATTAGAAAGATTTTGAGCTTTATTCACTTTTTTCAACACACTGCTATTATTTTGAACACAACTGTATATCCTAGATTGTAAGCTCCGAGGAGCAGGGCCCTCCTATCCCTCTTGTATTGAACTGTATTGTTGCTGTATTATCTCCCGTTATATTGTAAAGCGCTGAGCAAACTGTTGGCGCTATATAAATCCTGTATAATAATAATAATAATATATACACACACACTGGAATGTATTTTTTTTATACTAGTAATGGCAGTGATCAGTGACTTATAGTGGGAAGGACTGTGATAGTGTGGCAGAAATCAGATACTAACTGACATCTTCAGTGATACTAATACAGTGATCAGTGATAATACTATATACTGTCACTTTACTAAAGTCACTGCTTGGGAAGAGGTTAACATCTCATGGTAATCAAGGGGTTAAGTGTGTAATATGTGCTGCTTTTTACTCAAAATCTGTCTGTTCCTTCTCCCTCCTTTGCCAAGAGAAGAAACACAGATCATTCCTCTGTACAGAGCCCAGTGTGTTTGTCACCACAGGGCTTTGAACAGTGGCTGAACCCTAATGACAAAATCCTGCTGTGCGCACTGAACACAGATGAAGGTGTTGAACTACAGGTATGTGACTGTTCCTGTATAAGATGCCTGCCCACAGTGAAAAAGTGAATATACACTTCTGCTCAAAAGTTTTCATACCCTTGGACAATTGGTAATGATATGTGCCAGTTTTAAAGAAAACATGAGTGAGCAGGCAAAACACATTTCTTTTATTTCTTATGGCATTCATATTCAACTGTGGGTCATAACAGAATGGTAGAATCATAAGACAAAACATGTCAACAAGTTAAAAAAAAATGAAAGGACCCTTGTTCAATAGTCTCTATAACCTAAAGCCTAGTACACAAGATGAGAAAATTGGACTAGATGTACAGCTTTCGGAGCGATCATCAAATAATCTGATCATTTATTACACAGCTCTCGAGTGCTGATCACGACAATTCATGCTAAAATATCCAAAGAGATAAGCACAAAAAAGTTTTGTGTACAATAACACAACGAACAATTTTTTCATTTAATCAGTACAGTGTTTGTCCGTAAAAAATCAAATCCCCAAGACTGAGCATGCTCAGAAACAAAATATAATACATTACATCATTTCAGAAGTTGCACTCTCTTACGAGAATTTTGTAACTTAAATAACCTCTTAATTTTTTTATATGAGACTAGCATGCAAATATAAAGGACAATCATTCGTTCAAAATTCTCATCATGTGTACGAGGCATTAGTTTCTAATACTGTGTATTGCCCCCTTTAGCATCAATGACAGCATGCAGTCTTTTGTAATGGCAGCCAATGAAGCCCCGAATTCTTGCAGGTGGTATAGCTGCCCATTTGAGTGGCTTGATAATATTAACAACAGGAGACTGTTATGGCCACTCCAGAACCTTCACCTTTTACTGCTGTAACCACTGGAGTGTCAACTTGGCCTTGCGCTTAGGGTCATTGTGGTGCTGGAAAGTTCAAGAGCGTCTTGATAATATTAACAACAGGAGACTGTTATGGCCACTCCAGAACCTTCACCTTTTACTGCTGTAACCACTGGAGGGTCAACTTGGCCTTGCGCTTAGGGTCATTGTGGTGCTGGAAAGTTCAAGAGCGTCCCATGTGCAGCTTTCGTGCAGTAGAATGCAAATTGTCCGCCAGTATTCTGTTAACATATTGCATTCATCTTGCCATCAATTTTCACAAGCTTCCCTATGCCTTTAGAGCTCACGCCCCCCAAAACATCAGTGAGTCACCACCATGCTTCACAGTTGGGATTGTATTCTTGTCACTATAGGAGTTGTTGACCCCTCTCCAAACATATTGCTTATGGTTGTGACCATAAAGCTCTATTTTTGTCTCATCTTTCCTAATTACAGTGTGCCAGAAACTGTGAGGCGTGTCAAGGTGTTGTTGGACATATTTGGGCACTTTTTGTGGCACTGGCACAGTAAAGGTGTCTTTCTGGTAACTTGACCATGCAGCTCATTTTTGTTCAAATATCGTCATATTGTGCTCCTTTGAAACAATCACACAGTCTTTTTCCAGAGTAGCCTGTATTTCTTCTGAAGTTACCTGTGTTTTTTTTTTTTTTTTGTATCCCGAACAATTTCTTCTGGCAGTTGTGGCTGCAAACTTTCTTGGTCTACATGACCTTGGCTTAGTATCAAGAGATACCCACATTTTCTGCTTCTTAAAAAGTGATTGAACAGTACTGACTGGCATATATACCAACATTCATGTAAGAGAAACAGTAAATTATGTTAATAAATGTCCATGAATACATTCAAGTGTTCATAGATAATCCTCAAACACCCTGGGGTTTATTTACTAAAGCCGGAGAGTCCAAAATCAGACTCCCTTCTGCATAGAAACCAATCAGCTTCTAACCTCAGCTTGTTCAATGAAGCTTTGGCAATGAAACCTGGAAGCTGATTGGTTTCTATGCAGAAGTGAGCCTGATTTTGCACTCTCCAACTTTAGTAAATAAACCCCCCCTGTGTCTTGTAACCATAGTCAAATCTTCTTCCACAGTTCACCAGTGCTCCACCACCGTGCTCAGAAAAAGTGCATATTCACCGAATGGTATCAGCCAACAGAGTAGCCAGCAAGCATAAAAGATCTTATGTAGATCAGGTTAGATGTCCACTCTCTTCTGCCAGGACTTTTAAATCCAATCCACTTCATATGTCATTAATAAATCTCCATAACATGTCTCAGAAAAAAATCTCAGAAAGAGTGCTTATAGTGCAGTAACCTTTATTAAAAATAGAGAATAAGAAAGCAATCTATATGCACTTACATGATTAAGGTGCCAAGGGGGGTACCAACATATTTAGCTCACTAGGGGGATACCTTCATACCGCCATTCACATCCGCGGCCAGAGTGTGGTCCAACAAGCCGGATACAACGTCATGGAACAGAGCCGGAAGTGACGATATGGCTCTGGCCTCAATGCATTTTGCGTGATGCGCGTCCTCACGAAGCTTAAAGGGGTAGCTGCTTTATTTAGTAAATGTTGGTTTTGCACCTAACTATAGGCTGGCACTTTTTCATTTATACTGTAAATGGATATTCAAGGCTCTGCTCCCCATGGCACAGTATCTAGCCTGCTCAGTGCATCTACATGAGAGCTAACAAACACATTAACTATATACAGACACTAATTGCAATTGAAAAAGCCACAGATATGGTAAATTAACCTTTAATTGCCATTTTAACCCGTGTGTGTCACTTTTTGTGTCTTTCCCGAGGCCAAACATGCCAGGGTATGTAAACTTTTGATCCGGGCCATTTGGGTGATTTCTGTTATCATCATGACTTAAAAAGGAGCCAAACAATTATGTGATAATAAATGGCTTCGTATGATCACTATCCTTAAAGCGGAGCTCCATCCAAAAGGGGAAGTTCCACTTTAATGTTTTGTTCCCCACTCCCCATTAAGGATTGGCACCTTAGGGGAGTGGGGAGCGGGAACCCAAATTTGACAAGTACCTGCTCCCACTTCCGCTGTGATTGCCTAGGCAATCGTAAGTGGAAGTTGTCCTTCCCCCCTCCCTCCCCGTAGTCTTCCGGAACACGTGACAGATCCCTGAAGACTTCTCGCACATGCGCAGTGGGCACCCGGCTGTGAGGCCGCAAGCTGTCACAGCCGGTTGCCCACACTGAAGACACCAGTGCCAGGGAGAGAAGACAGTCGGAAAAACCAGCCGTGGTGAGGACACTGCTTGACCACTGATGTATTTTAAAAGTCAGCAGCTACAGTTTTTGTAGCTGCTGACTCTTATTTTTATTTTTTTTTCAGCTGGAACTCTGCTTTAACCACTTATACCCCCTTATTTACCAGGCCAATTTTCAGCTTTCAGCGCTGCCGCACTTTGATTGACAATTGCGCGGTCATGCAACATTGTACCCATATGAAATTTTGATCATTTTTTTCTCACAAATAGAGCTTTCTTTTGGTGGTATTTAATCGCCACTGGGTGCTTTACTTTTTGCGCTATAAATAAAAAAAGTGCACAAAATTTGAAAAAAAAAAAAAAGTTTCTTTGTTTCTATTATAAAATTTTTCAAACAGGTAATTTTTCTCCTTCACTGATGTGCGTTGATGAGGCAGCACTGATGGGCACTGATAGGCGGCACTGATGGGCACTGATAGGCAGCACTAATGAGGTGGCACGGATAGGCGGCACTGATAGACAGCACTAATGAGGTGTCACGGATAGGCGGCACTAATATGCAGCACTGATAGGCGGCACTGATAGGTGACACTGATGATGGGTACTGATAGACGGCACTGACTGGCATCACTGCTGGGCACTGGCTGGCACAACCGCTGGGCACTGACTGGTGGCACTGCTGGGCTGCACTGGTGGGTGGCACTGGTGGGCAGCACTGGTGGGTGGGCACAGGTGGGTGGCACTGGTGGGCACAGGTGGGTGGGCACAGGTGGGTGGCACTGCTGGGCACAGGTAGGTGGCACTTCTGGGCACAGGTGTGTGACACTGCAGAGTGGCACAGGTGGGTGCACTGCTGGGCACAGGTGGGTGATCTGCTGGGCACAGGTGGGCGGAGCTAGTGGGCGCACTGCTGGGCACAGGTGGGCGGAACTTGCGGGTGGCACTGCTGGGCACCGATCATCAGGGCACTGATCATCAGTGCCCTGATGATCGGTGCCGATCCCCGCTCTGACAACTGCCGATTCTCGGCAGTACTTTCCTCACGATCTGACAGCGTGAGGAAAGTGCAGCCGAGAACCGGCACTTGCATTTCCCTCTGATCAGCGTGTCATTGGACACCGCTGATCACGTGGTAAAAGGCCGCTGTGATTGGCCTTTTACCACATCACGTGATCAGCTGTGTCCGTAGGACACAGCGATCACGGAGATCGCTGGGTGCGCAGGAGAGCGCGTTCTGGGAGGACGTCATATGACGTCCACTCAGAACTGGCCGGCCGCAGTGCAGCCGTCATTCGGCTATCTGCGGTCGGCAACTAGTTAAATAAAAGACAGTTTTTTTGGCACGATCAGTCATATTTGCAATATTAATGCCAAAATTTAATGATTTTTGCCAGGGTATGCAAACCTTTAAGCAGAAGTCTAGTTATATTGAACAATATCTGGTGACAGTGTACTTTTGGGGTATTTCTCGTGTAAACCTTTGCTTCACAAGAAACTTAGCAATATAATATGTATGGGATTTAAGATTTTTCAGCCTTTAATGGATAAAAATATAATCATGATCTGATTAGTAAAGACAAGCTTTTAAAAAGAAAGTATGGCCAAAGGTTTTTTGGTCATACTTCTCCTGTGGGTTACAGGAGTGCACTTACTTTTTCTCTCCTGTTACCCAGAGTCAGCTTATAGCAGACTATTGCCCAATATCAGTTGACATGGCAGAGCTGTTTTAGGCTCTGGAAGGATCCTGACCACATTGTTGGGTTCCACCCAAGTGTCTGACTGACAGCTGGCTCAAGCTATCAGTGCATGGCTGAGAACCTAAGCCAGGTGTGCCTGCGACCCTCCCAGCCTGGCGCTCCAGCGAGCTCTGGAGGGACAGAGTGGAGAGCGGTGACTGAAGTCACTGCTCTCTGCTTTGAGCAGAAAAAGAACTGAGCAATCAATGGTCATTTGATTGCTCAGTTCTTAGGGTTCGATCCGATGCAGGACAGCTGCAGCATATAGCTGAGTATATGTCTTTGTTTTAACAAAAATCTTTTTCTTTTAAGGGACATTTAGTTTGCATTAAACGTAAAAGTATAGGATGCAGCACAATGTAACTGTTTTATAATGCAACCATGAGCTGATACAACGTTATGTCATTATATAAAGTACATAGAACAATTGCTATCTATTGCAGTAATCAATTTCTGACACTACTTGCAAGTATTGACAATCCAGAAAATGTGGTAAGAATTGAAGAAAATATAAGCCCTATTAAGAGGCATCTCTCATCAAGTGAGAGTGGATTTATCTGATAGGATTTCTGCTGACACACTTCACAACACACAGCAGTCCTGACACTGACGCTGCAGGGGGTTCGTAAATCAAGTTTGATTCAGGTGCATTAGCCAAGCTGGGCGGAGGTTTTAGAACTTGAATAAAACCACAGGAACATCTCAGTGAAGAATAAGATGAATTGGATGAACTATGTGTGAGTAAAGCTCTCACACTGACTGTCAGCATTAAGCCACAGGAAACTGGCTTCTTCCAGGAACAGAAGATTGATCAAAAGATATTCCTGCTATCATGCAAAGTAAGGTGAAAACCTAGGAGAATGGCTGAATGGAATTCAATCATCGCTAAGCTCAGCTACCGAGCAGAGTGTGGTAAGTGCTCTGGGCTCCACATATTTCTCTATCATTTTCTTTATCAGACCTGTTTCGGTGGCTGATATACTGCAAACAGTTTGCATGCAGTTCTAAAGATGGTGATTAAGATACCATATGTTTAACTTCCTGCACCATCCTACCCATGGACAAAACTTGTATGTGATTTCTCAGACAATCTCTTGTTAAAAGTTCAGATCCATAGAGAGTAAAAGTGGAAGAAAATTGTATCTGAGCACCACAACCTGAAAATGCTTTTAATTCATTTTTGCCATTCAAAGCAAACTCAGCCATCCCTTCATTCCTCCATGCTTTATTATCTTGAGAAAAACTCTCCCTAGCATTTCTGGCCATGACCATCTTGAGTAAGGGCAGATGATTCATGAACTTAGCTGAGAAAGCCCCCTCCGAGTCCCTTCTAAAAGAGTTTTCCTGACACCAAGAGGAAAATGGTGAGAGGGGAGGGCACAGCATGTGATTGACAGCCCCAGTTTTGTTGCTGTGTGAGGAATGTGTATCCCTTCCCTCCAATCAGCTCTCAGAGCTCTCCTCACTGTAACCTCAGCTTCCCACCCCCTGCTTTTCAGAGCTGAGAGATCCTGTGTAAATTCTGCACTTTGAATAGATGTAGGCAGTGGTATCACTAGGGTGGGTGTCACATGGTGCGGTAAAACATGGTGTCACCCCCTCCCCCCCAATAATTTTGCTACCATATTGTCATGGCTCTCGCCCCTGCAGATTTACAGCAGGACAGAGCAGTAGACACTGAGCAGGCTAGTGAATTGTGCTCTCTCCTTTCTAGCCTGCCACAGGGCCCTGCAGGGTGCTGGGAATGCTAGTTTCAGAATGGCAGCGTGTGATCAAAGTGTGCACCCCAAACCGGCCCCTGTAAATTATGTAGTCGGTGCACTGTCATGGATGGCGGTGACACCATCACGTTCTGATATCACTACCTACTTGACTGTGTCATCCAGTGGTGGGACAAGTCCGATCAGTACCCACTGCGAGGATGCCAAATTGCTCCCACCCCTTTCCCAGACGGAAGAATTATTCCCAGCATTGTCAGTGGATGCATTAATACCCCCAGAATTGGTGGCAGTGGACTCCATATTAACTCCCAGCATTGGTGTCAGTGGACGCAATAATAGCCCCCAGCATTGGTGCCAGTGGATACATTAATAACCCCCAGCTTTGGTGTCAGTGAATGCCATATTAAATCCCAACACAGATATCAGAGGACACTATGATAGCTCCCAGCATTGGTGTCAGTGGAGGTATTATTAACCCTAGCACAGGTGTCAGTGTTATTAACTTCCTCCCCTGGTGGTCAGTGGCATTGAAATTTACCCCCTCCCATGACTAACAATGTGGGGGGAGGGGGCTACTTTTCACTGACATTGCCACAAATACAGAAGGGGTGGTGGGTTAAAATTTCACTGCCATGATGACCAATGAGGGGGGGGGGGAATGAGAGGTTTAACAGTCACTGCCATGAAGACCAATGCAGGTGGGGGATGGGGGGTTAAATTTCACTGCCACTGTCTCCCACCCCCCACTTGCAGTGGTAACCCCTTCCTCAATTTCAGCCTGCTCCAGTCCCTTTCCCTTACTTTCTATGCTCTGGCATTGGACACAGGGAGCAGGAGCAATGACATCCAATCCAGCCAGCTGAGCTTGCCTTAGCACACACTCGCTCCGGGTCAGCTCTCTTCTCCCTCTTCTAGGAGTGCATCCGAGCAGGCGGGTGAGCAGACAGGCAGGTGGGCAGCCGAGTGGGCGGCTCAGGCAGGGGGGTGGGCTGGATCCCCATCCTGGCAACACAACAAGCAGCCTGCACAGAGAGGAGATCCAGTCCCGCAGCTATCAGGGCCCCTTGTCCCAGCCCTGGTCTCACCCTTCTGGCAGGTGTCATCCAGGTGCATACCCCATGCACATATATAGCGACATCACTGGATGTAGGGGAAAGACATCTTCAGATAAACAGGTACAACTTATGTAGAAGGATTTGTTTCATCTCTGTGTATCACCTGAGACCAGTCACTTCAATGGGTATATGTAAAAGTTTACAATCACTTTAAGTTTTGCTCCACTGAAAATCTGCACATTCACAAAATACACCTAGAATGGTGCCTGACAATATTAAAGCAGATCTCCAGCCAAAAATAAGAAGATAAAAATGAATAGCCCATTAAATGATTTGATAAAACCATCTTTTACTGCCATATTCACCTTCTATCCATGATAACTACTGCAGTCATTTGTTTTCTCTGTCGCTAGATGTTGGATTGTCAGTATTATTCATCCCATTCCCTCTCCTTACAGTTAAAAAATACTTTTATTGCTTGTTCACACTGTGTGCTGTGACCTGTGTTTTTCTGTACTGGATAAGGGCCACTGCTAGGGTACTTGGAAAACAATGGTGGCTTGAATGGAAAATTGCAGCAAAACTCTACACAAGTTGGCCTGAACTAAACCTGTTCTGAGCAACTGATCTCTACATGTTTATGTAATCTGCCTGTGGTTAAAAATGCAGAAAATACTTGGCAAAGCATGTGCTGTGAACAAGCAAACGATGTAAGACATTAGGGTTGATTTACTAAAACTAGAAAGTACAAAAAAATCTGGTGCAGCTGTGCATAGAAACCAATCAGCTTCCAGGTTTTATTGTCAAAGCTTAATTGAACAAGCTGAAGTTAGAAGCTGATTGGCTACCATGCACAGCTGCACCAGATACTGCACTCTCCAGTTTTAGTAAATCTCCCGCAATGTGTAAAAAAGTGGCAGTCACATAGACTATACAGGAGAATCATCAAAAATGATGGCAGAGATGGGAAATACTGAAGAACGGACACCCTTCTTGGAATTGGTACATTTTTGTACCTTTGCAACAATCTGGACTCTGCAGGCAGAATGTTTTTCTAAATGCATAAAATATAACTGGCTATTAAAAAAATGTTGATCCGCCCCCTCCAGCCTCTGCTGCTTTCCTTTTAATACCAGAACAGAGCGAGAGGCAAAACAGTGCCAGATTGGGGGGGGAGGGGGAGCTGCATTAGTTAACTATGCAAGTTAACCAGCAGGTGATTAGTTGCTAGGCAGTGTGGCACTACTGTGGGGGGAGGGGGAGGGGTAGGGATTCAGGGGACAGTGCTAAGAGGGGTGCAGAGGGCACTACTGTGGGGGGGATGCAGAGGACAGTGCTATGGAGGGGTGCAGATGACACTACTGTGGGACAGGGGGGTGCAGAGGACACTACTGTAGGGGGGGATGTAGAGGACAGTGCTATGGAGGAGGGGCAGAGGGCACTACTGTGGGGGGTGGGGCATGCAGAGGACATTGGTATGGATGGGACAGAGGACACTACTGTGGGGGGGATGCAGAGGACATTGTTATGGAGGGGGGCAGAGGACACTACTGTGCGGAGGATACAGAGGACAGTGCTATGAAGGGGGGGGGGGGGCAGAGGACACTACTGTGGGTGGAGGGGATGCAGAGGACAGTTGATA